GCGCCAGGTAGGTGAGGCAGCACAGGTAGAGCTCCACCTTCGGGAAATCTAAGTCCATGGCCTGGCGGATCATCAGCTCTAGATCCATGAAGTCGTAGACCTTCTCGACGTCGACCAGGAAGTTGCTCTGCTCGTTGATGCCCACGTGCGCTCTGGACTCGTCCAACACCATGGTGAGCAGGGCCGCCTGGGGCGCATTGCTGCCCTTGACCGCGGCGTCCCAGTGCGCAGCCCTCGCGTCGCACCACTCTGTCATAGTGGTCTTCGTCATGCGGCCCCAGATGCGAACAGGCATGGGCAGCAAACCGACGTCGCGCTCGTTCCCGATCTCCTGCTTGGTACCGTTCGGCAGGATGGCGAACCAGTTGTGCAGGAGTTGGTGCGGCCACGCCAGACTGCGCTCGATCATATTCAGGAGCGTGACGAAAGCCTCCTGCCCCAGGTCAGACAGCGCCAAGAGGTGGGTCGGCTTCCACTGGTCGGAGCCCTTGCCCGTGGCCTTGAGAAAAGATCGCAGTGCCGAGACCAAAGCGTCGCGGTCGTGGTAGGGCCGCTGCGCTAGCTCCTCGTGAGCATGGTGACGCAGCTCACCGAGGGCAGCGCGGACCGCTGGCAACCGGTGTGACTGCGAGGTCCATTGTCGTGCCCAGCAGGCCGCTCTGGTCTCAGTGGTCCCCTGCGCCGTGTCAAACATCTCCGGCCCAGCAGCGTCCCTGCAGGTCTCGTCCAGGGCCTGCTGCTCCAGCTTATTGAGATAGCGGTGGGCACCCTTCATTGAGCCCTTGGTGCTGTCGATGGCCCACTTGCCGATCTCACTGCGAGTCTGCTGCCACGCCAGGCTGGCGTGTCGCTGGGCACGGGCTTGGACTCTCATTGCGAACTGCTGCCGGAGTTGGAACTCGGTGCTGTACTGACTGCGGATGCCCGTAGAGATAACCTTCTCATCATCACAAAATACTCGCCATTTACCGTTAAGATCGCCTTCATGTCCAGGTGGAACAGGTCCTTCACTGTCGTGTAAAGATTTAAGTTTCGAATGCAGAGAGTGGATATCCTAATCGGCACCTGTCTTCGATAACGTGAATGTCTGAATCGACCACGTGCTATCAACTGCTCTTGTACTCTGGCGTGTAGGCTGGCCCAATGACTACACAAAGCGTTGGCCGCCGAGTGGCCGAAAATGGTGGAAGTGTCCTGGCGCGTGGCCTTCTGCCACTGGTAACGGACTGGAAAACCACGACGCGCAGCAGGTCGAGGTTCTGCCCCACAAAGCGCTGCCAGCTGCTCCTCTGCCGCCACTGACCACGCTGCATACTGCTGCGCCCTGTAGTCGCTCATGTGCGGGTCGTGCTGGAAGGCGAGGCTCTCGGTGACCACTCCCTGGCCCTTAACGCCCGTGGTGTCGACGTAGCGCTGCGCCTCCTTCGCGCAGTCGAGCCAGGTGTCGTCGGTGCACCTCTGTGGTCGGAGCTGCGTGTAGTGGTCGTCCATCAAGTGCTCATCTTCATCGTTGAGTATATCGCCCTGCTGGACGATGTCCTGCTCCCCTCTGGCCTCCTGCAACTTCTGGTACCTCTGGCGGTCGCGCTGGCCTCGCTTGACGCCCTTGGCGATGCAGTGTTCTCCCAGAGGAATCTCGAGGGGGACGGGAAGCCGCGGCACTCGCATGAACACCGAAGCTGCTCTGGAAGTCAGCCTGATGTCTAGGCCGATGTGCGGGCCCCACGGGAGGGTCTGCACCGGGAGCACGCGGTCCAGGAACGGGCGGAAAGCTGTCGGGCACGATCACGCAGTCGATCATTCGGCTTTTGCCCGACGTGCAGGAGACCTCGACGCCCTCTGGCGTGATCGCGGTGCCGCCCAGGGCCTTTAACCGGCCCGGCTTCATCATCTCCTGCGGAGTGGCGTTGAAGTCACCGACCAGAAGCCAAGGAATACCGAACGTCTTGACTATGCGGTGAATCGTTTTCATCTTCTTGGATTTTGTGCCCATCAAACCGATTGAACAGTCCAACTAGCACACGATGAAAGCAAAGGTAGCCCCATGGAAGCGCCATAGGACCACTGAGATATTGCAGAGCGCATCGTGGTAGACGCTCTTTCCCTTGTAGCCCTCCAGGTGGATGCTGGTTGCATAGGTGGCCCGTCGCAGCCAGCACGCACTCCCGTGCGTGCCTTTGTCCGAGCGTCCCGTAGCCCGTGCAGCAGTCCATGTCCCTTCAGACCTCCAACCAAAATTGCGTAGGCGCCTGTCCTCCCTCTGGCACATCATTTGCGGCAAGTGATGCTCAGCCAAACCCATGAGGTCGTAGGGCGCCAACTCGATAAACTTCTTGACCTTGTTGACATAGCTAGTCACATTCCCGATGAAGACGGAGACGTAACTGCGCTGGCTGAAATGAGTTCGCGCTCGTGGATGTCCGTGTTCTAGGTTACCTTCCTGACGTCTTCGACCTCGCAGATGCTGTCCCCGTCGTCGTAGGAGGTGCCCCTGCCGTTGGTGTGACCGTTGAGGGCGCCGACCCTGAAGCGGGAGTGGCCTTGGCTGAGTCCGCTGCCGCTGCCCTGGCCTTGATGGCCGCCGTGCGCTGGATGTAGGCGTCGACGTTCTTGGGATCGCTGAAGTCGATGGCGCCGCCTCCTGGGGCAGCTCCTTCGCCTCCTTCGGCGCCTGCAGCAGGTGCGGGGTCTGGCGCTCCAGCTGCGACCCCTGCGTCACTGTCGGCCTTGCGCCTCTTAGCTGTGGTGGCCTTCTCGCAGAGCTCCCTGAGCGTGCTGGCCGCGTTCTGCGCCTTCTGCCCGATGTCCGCCGCGGTCTGGTGCGCCTGCTGCGCGTGGGCCAGCGCCTCCACGTAGGCCGCCTTCTGCTTTGGGGTGGGGAGCTCCACGTCCTCGATGCTGAGCTCGGGGAAGTTGAAGGCCTGGTCGCCAGCGGGCTTGGCGGCCTCCTCGGGCGCGCTGCCGCCGCTGGCTGCCCGCATCGCCGCCGAGGTGAGGCTGGTGAGGCGGTTGACCTCAGCCTGTACCTCAGCGCAGGCTCGAACGTTCTCCTCCAGCTTCTCCAAGAGCTCCTTCCCGTGCTTGGCGTTGGCCACCAGCTGGTTCTTGAGCTTCTCCTGGTAGCTGTGGAGGCGACGGAGCGTGGCGGCATGCTGCTCCAGCAAGATCTCGGGCGCCTTGGGCGGCAGAGGCTTGGCAGCCTCGGCCAGCTCGGGACAAACCAACTCCATGGCCTTGACTGCGTCCAACTGCTCGTCCGCGAGCGCCTGCTTGTACTTCGGAAGCAGTTGCTCGAGGAGGCTGGAGCTGGTGTCATCTCCGTCCTCGATGGCGAAAGACACCTCCTTCTTGGCAGATTGCTTGGGCCACGGGACTCGGCAAGTGCGGCAATATTCCCACCCTGGAGTGCAAGCGCGATTGCAATACACCCGAGACCCAGGACAAGAACGGCACACAAAATACGCTTGCCGACGCTCGCCGCGTGTAGATGGGGGCCTGGAGCCATCTCTGCTCTTGGCCCGCGCACTCCCGCTGCGGCCCATCAAACTCACGAAACTGTTCAGCACTCCACTTTCGCCGCCTTAGAGGGCGCTCCTCAAGCCGCGGGTGCGCGTAGCGGGCACGCTGGTGTCCGCCCACGCACGGTACGCGCGAGTGCCGTGCGGGCGGGGGACCTGTTCCCAGAAAGCCCCTTCGCGCCGCAAATGGTTTGAGAGGGGGAGGGGGAGGGGGAGGAGGAGGAGGAGGAGGGGGAGGGGGAGGAGGAGGAGGAGGAGGAGGACGAGGAGGAGGAGGAGGAGGAGGAGGAGGAGGAGGAGGAGGAGGAGGAGGAGGAGGCGGAGGCGTTGTCGTCGTACGTCTGGCATCTGCCCTGGGCGCAGAGGGAGCGCACGGCAGAAGAACCGCCGGCGCGTGGCGGACGCGTTGCTGGCACGCGGTCGCACGCGCGCTCGCGGCCCGGGCTGCGTGCTTCGCGCGCGCACGCACGCGCGATTTCCAGGGGGCTGGAATTAAGTCGGGCCTGTCCCTCTACAGGAGGAATATTCAAAAATAGTCAAACAATAGTCTGGGGACAATTTTTGGAACATTCTTTGACTTTTTGGGGGGGGGGCTTTGCGCCCAAATTCCGCCTGTATGGGGACATGCTGGACCGAAGGCCGGGAGTCGTCGACGGCTGGATGCAGCGAAGGAAGGCAAGGCGGCAACTCAGGGGAAGAAGACGCGCCGATGCTGATGCCGTTCCCTCGCTTGCGCACTCTTCGTCCTCGCCATCGCGGCCGGATGCGCCGCGTAATCCTGTGCAGAGTGCGCCCCCGAGAGATGTCCGAGGGGCAGCGGCATCGGTACGTTTTTCTTGGCATCGCTCGGACGTGTGCACTTGTTCTTGGCGAGGAGCATCCTGGCTCATCGGGCCAAACAGCACCCACGAAGCCGACAAATCCACGGGGAAAATGGACGTCCGAGCAACGGCAAGTTTTGCCCCCCCCCCCCCCCCCCCCCAGCAATGCTGAATCGCCAGGGGGCATGTCCGCCCGTGTTAGCATGCCGCATTGTGGGATTTCTCGAAGTGATCCCGTGGAAGGGGTCGAGACCTCCAGGGGTCCACGTTGGGAAAAAGTCACGACGCCGGGGGTCTGGGTGTGTGTGCAGGGTGGGTGGGTGGTAACGGAGGATCGGGGAGGGAAAGAGAGCGGAAGCAAGGAGTGAGAAAGAAGGACGGGCCCCCTACCTTGCACGCGCGCGGCCGCGCGCTTTGAATATGTGCACGCGGTGTCAGCACAAAAGTGCTTTGCACAGGCCAGGGGACTGGACGAAGTGTGGAAAAGGTTCCCATGGCCTTCTGTTCTGGCATGGTGCGGGCTCTTTTTGAGAAGCTATTTCCATGCCCCTGCTGGATCTGTAAGACTCGAGTGAGCGTGTCTACGCGTGTATGGTGGAGGCGGCATGACCAGTGAGTGCGCATGCACAGGCGAGATCGAGGGCGCGGCATAAACTGAGGCCTGGGTATTGCCATATATACGTTTGAGGGCATCGGTCTCATCTTGCCTATGTACGAGGTGGTGCTTCATTTCTCATTTTCACGCCATTCCCATCTGTTCTGCTCCTCCTCCATAGTGATCCGTGCTGGTACTTGGTGACACTTCGGCATTGTTGCCACCATCGCACGATTCTGTTAATCTGTAAGTACGTCTTCCTACACGGGGGTTGGGGGGATAGAAGGATGACCATAATGAGGCGCAGGAATAGGAGCAGCAGCAGGCATCATTGCGATGGGATAGGGGAGGTATTGAGCTTCATTCGGATGGTTCGCAGGAAGCCTTCGCGTAGCAATATTCACAAGTTCGGTTTGAATCGGAATTTTTGTCGTCAGGAGGATCATCGGGCGACGCTAGCATTACATAAGATGCGCTGGAGGATAGCCCGTGACACGTGGTTTTGCACGTCTGCATTTGCTGTTGCCCGGGTCGGACGGGGCCGTCGAAGCCAGCATTTTGACAAAGGGATGCCACGTGGAGTCCAGGTCCGAGTGAATTTTGCATTGAGTGCGAGTTGCGTTGGTATGCGAGGAAATGAGTGGGCACCGATCGGTTGCATTACGATCTTCCTGTCGCATTCACAGATGGGTGGACACCGAGGGGTTCCATTACGACTTTGTTATTACGATGTTGTTTTCCGTGACGCATCGTGTGCGACAGAAGGACGTTGCGTGCACGGCCTGTCGGGCCGAAAGATATGCAGGCCTTTGGTCATCACTACCAGCCTGGCGGCTTCGGGCACCCTGTGCTGAACGTTCGTTGGGGGTCACATTCGGTCCTCGTCATGGCTATCTTGGGGCTAATCAATGCAGACTTGGTTCGCCGCGGCCGCGTGAAACATGCACTGACACTCAACCAGCGGGTGGGAGGGAGGATGTGAAGGAGGAGGAGGAGGAGGAGGAGGAGGAGGAGGAGGGGAAGGTGGTACAACGAGAAAGGTACGCAGCGTCTGAGCCACTGCTGCAGGGTTTGATTTGGGGCGGCAGGGGGGCCTTCTCTGGAGGTTATGGTCTGTTCGGTCTTGGCTGGCCTTTCCTGGCGCCGTTCTGAGGTGGAGGAGGCGAAGGAGGAGGAGGAGGAGGAGGAGGAGGAGGAGGCGGAGGAGGAGGAGAACGAGGAGGAGGAGGAGGAGGCGGAGGAGGAGGAGCTGCCCTCTTTCCTGGTGCCGCTCTTCCTCGCTGGGTCCTACCTGGGAGCCGATGCCCGGCACGCGCCACGGAGGGCTCGCCCCGCCCGGGAGGGCCCGGGGCCTCGCCGAGCGCCTCGCTGCGGCCGGCTGCCACGCGCTGCGGGCCTCCCTCGCTGCCCCGAGGCGCCCGCTCGTTCGGAAGCGCAGCGCGCACCGTGTCCGAGACGTCTGTGCTGACACGCTGCGCGCTGGCCGGTTCGTGCCCGAGGGCTCTTGCCCGGCCCTGCCAGACAGTGGGCGGCCTCCGGTCTCGATCTCTGGGCCCTCCGCTGGGAGGAGGAGGAGGAGGAGGAGGAGGAGGAGGAGGAGGAGGAGGAGGAGGACGACGAGGAGGAAGACGTGCTGGCCCACGTTTCGGCGAACGTGTCGCGCCAAACGTACTTTGTTTTCGGTATGCGTGTTGAGCTCCGCGTTAACACGCTGCGGGTTGCGTGTGGCGTGTCGGGGCGGCCCAAGCTCCTGGCGTTGCCGCACTGGCCAGGGAGCGATTTCCATGAGAGGCCTCCGGCGAGCAGAGGCCAGCGGTCGCAGGCCGCGACCGGATTGCCATGGCGATCGTTTTCTTATTCATTGTGTTGCCGATTGGCGCGGACCCCCCTCGCACCCCCCCTTCCCCCCTCCCCCGTGGAGTAGATCTTGGCTGTTTCTTGGCGCTTGTTTCGAGCAGGCGGAGTCTCCCCCATGGGACACATTGCTGCAAGCAGTCGCGTTATAAGCAGAGGTTCAGAGCGAGACTCTCCCCCCTCCCCCCCCCCTTCCGCCCAATGTCACAACGTTCACATGCGGGATCGGACGACGACGACGACGACGACGACGACGACGACGACGACGACGACGACGACGACGACGACGACGACGACGACGACGACGACGACGACGATCCCCTGGGCCGCGACGACGCCCCAGGGGTTTGTCACCATTGTCGGGCTCCACGGGGCCCTCCACGGGCCCCGGGAGCGTCGGGAAGCGGCTCGGGTGCAGGGCTCGTCCTGGCGGAAGGCCCCAGGGTCCAGGACCCGCTTCCCTCATCATCGAGAATTAGAGGACCCCTAACCTCGAGTCGGGCACTTCCTTCCACAGGAGGGATGTTCAAAAATAGGTTAACACTTGTATGGGGGCGATGTTTCGACTATTTTTGACCGTGTTTGATCATGTCTTGACACTTTTGAATTTTAATACCAAAATCCGCCTGTAGGAGGACATGCCCGACCTGACCCTAACCCTAATAACACAGGTGAAGACGTGGCCTCACTGAGGTCCCCGTCTTTGCATCAGGGATGATCATTCTGGGCAGTTTGGCTCGATGCGTCTGCAGAACAGACTCCCTGGCCCTGATATGTTTGGCCCTCCTAACTTAGGACCCCGCCCAAAGGGTTAGGGGTCCTCCTTTGGTCAGCGTCGGTTGGCCCGGTGCACCCTCTTATGATTCCGTCCTTAGCGTCGACTGTAGCGTCGATTTAGCGCCGATCAGCGTCGATTCGCAAGAGCCGACAGATGGTATGGGAGGCTCCCATGACCCTGAGATCCGACGTTGCAAAAAAAATGCAACATCGCAAAAAATCACACCCAGACCCCCGGACCCCATCTTTCATTTTTCGAGCCGGATCGATCTGTGAGGGTCCCGGGGCCCGAAGTCGAGCGAAAACGACCGTTGCGAAAAAATTGCAGCGCCAGGATCTCCGGGGAGCTGCCACCGCACGTGCCCCCCCGTGCCCAGGGAGCGCCTCCGGGCGTGACGCGCGGGTGCCGATCGCCGCCGCCCGCGGCGTTGCGAGGGGCGCCCGGGGCCAGCGCGGCCCCTCCCGCCAGGCGCAGGGCTGGCTGCGGCACCCGGGTTGGCGCCGTCGGGCGTTCGAGCGCAGGCACCCCTCGCGAGGCGCAGGCCCAGTGCAGCTCCTCGCGCCGAAGACAGTGATCGTTTTCTCAGTCAGTGTTTTGCTGATCGGCGCGGGCGCTCGCACCTCCCCACCCCATGGAGCAGAGCAGATATTGGCTGTTTTTTCGGCGCCTGTCTCAAGCAGGTGGAGTCTCCCCCAGAGGACGCACTGCTGCAAGGAGTCGCATCAAGCAGAGGTCCAGAGCCAGACCCCCCCCCTCCTTCCCCCCGTTCTTCCGCCCAATGTCGAAACGCCGAGTAAGAAAACGTTCACCAGGCGTTCGAGCGCATGCACCCCTCGCGAAGCGCAAGCAGCCAGCTCCTCGCGCCGAAGGCGGTCGAGAGGCGTGGAGGTCAGGGCCCGGTTGGGCTCGGGAGGGGCTCTCTGGCCTGCGGGCCCGTCCAGGTCGGGGGGAGAGCTTCTCCGTGGCCGAGGCTCGGGCTCGGGCTCGGGTCGGGAGCGCCCGCCCCCTCGTGCCTTCTCTCGTCCTCCTCGCCTCCTCGTGGTAGCATGAAGTCGGGCCTGTCCCCTCTACAGGGGGGAGTAATCAAGAATAATTAAAATTAGTCTGGGGACGATTTCGTTGACAATTGTTGCGCATTTTGGGGTAGGGGGGAATTTTTTGGGGTATTTGTCGTTCGTCGTCCAAAATCCGCCTGTAGGGGGACATGCCCGACCTAATGGTAGCACGATGGCTGTGATGTCAGGAGCTGGCAGCACGCTCTGCCTGAGCGGGTGGGGGCAGGGAGCCGGGAGGGGCGTCGCTGGAGGCGCCGCCAGGGGAGGTCAGCGCAGATCCAAGAGATCCGCGCGGACCGTCAAAAGTTTGTGTGTTGTGCTATTGCTTGTTTTTCCCGTTAAGCAACGCCCGTTGCGAAGTAGTTGCAAAACGCTTGTTGCAAAGTGCTTTCTCTCAACGGCCCTGCCCGCTCACCCACACCACGGAGAGAGGAGCAGGGCGGCGAGCAGCGGGGGGAGACGGAGGAGGAGGACAAGCAGCACCAGCAGCAGCAGCAGCAGCAGCAGCAGCAGCAGCAGCAGCACTCACGACTCAAAGATGTTGCGGCCTCGAGGGCACGGACGCGACGCTGCGGCCGCAGTTCAAGTCGGTGCTCACCTGGACACTGGTTGGCGTGACAGTGTTCTTCACCCTCTTTGCGGCCTTGGCATATCCGATCGGCTCGCGCCGCTGACGCCGGCGCGAGCGGAGGAGGTCGAGGCGCATGATTGGTGGCCAGCGATGCGCGGCAGTTCGGGATAGGGTCGACGACGGGGCCCAGAATGGCCCTGGCCAGGCGAGGTGGTGGTGGTGGTGGTGGTGGTGGTGGTGGTGTGCAGGTGCCCTCTGCGTAACAAAACTTTTGGCGCTCCGCGCGGATTTCTTGGATCTGCGCTGGGCCCCCCCGGCGGCGCCTCCGGTGCCGCCCCTGGCGCGCGGAGCGCGTCAGGGAGGGGGTCTCAGCGGAGATCTAAGACATCCGCGCAGACCTCGGGAAGTTCAGATTTATGCCAAGGGGGTATTGCCACAGATCGTGTCTTGGGAATTGGTTTCGTTGCTGTATTGGGACTGGCGCCATGCTGCCAGGCACGACCGCATTGCGGAGTCGCGCCCCCTTTCAGTTTGGCATGGCTTGTTCCAGAATGCAATCCACAAGTGTTGGGAGCATGGGTTGGATTCAGAATGGGAATGCGAGTAACCCAAGTCATCTCGCAGTTTTCCGTGTATCGGCTGGATCCACCAAATAACCGACCACATGCCACTTCAACCATGAACCATTCCTGCGGACTGCATGCGTCAGCATGATCAACGCGTGCCATATATTCCTCGCGCGAATTCCTCACGAGATAGCGGGGAAGAAGGGAAATGATAGCGAGCCGATGTGCTGGACCTCCGCTTCAGCGCTCGGACGACGACGACGACAACGGCGGCGGCGGCAGCGACGGTGACGACGACAACGACGACGACGAAGGCGAAGACGACCACGACGACGACGCCGACGCTGACCGCGACGACGACGACGACGACGACGACGACGACGACGACGACACCGACGACACCGACGACGCCGACACCGACACCGACACTGGCACCGACACCGACACGGACACGGACACGAACACTGACGCCGACAGTGACGACGATTCTCACACTGACGCCGACACCGACGCCGACGCCGACGCCGACTCTGGCACCGACACCGACACTGACACTGACACCGACACCGACACCGATGGCGGCGGCGGCGAGGACGGTGGTGAGGACGACGGCGATGGCAACGACGACGCAGGTGACGACGACGGACGGCAATGACGACGACGGCGCGGGCAACTACGGCGACGGCGGCGATGGCGACGACGACGACGACGACGACGACGACGAGGACGAGGACGAGGACGAGGACGAGGACGCTGCCGACGCCGCGCCCGCTGAGCCATAGCACCCGGGAGGGGGCTGGCGGGCCACGCGTTCGGAGACCGCACTCACGCGATAGTGCTGCTGGACCTCCCCGACGGGAGCGCCCTGAAGGTGGCAGCGCAGCTCCTATCGAAGACGCCTACGGCGAATCACCGCCGCCCCCTGCCTTTTTGGAAGCGCCTATGTGGCCGAACGTTGAGGCCAGACCTGCCAAGCTATCGGACCACGTGTTCCCCGAATCGGTTTGGAAAGCCTTCGGGGAACACGTGGGCATCTTGAAGGTCATCTTGGCCGTCTTGGAGGCCTCTTGGGCAAGCTTTGGGCGATCTTTGGGGCTTTTTGGGCCGTCTCGGGCCAGCTTCGAGCCAACTTCGGCCATCTTGGTGGGTTCCTGGCACGTCTGAAGCCGTCGGAAGCCGTTTGGGGGGCCTCTATGGGCCGACTTGGGGCCCGCTTGGAATGCTCCAGGGCCGTCTTGGAGGCCATCTTGGGCGTCTGGGAGGCCATCTTGGGCGTGTTGGAGGCCTCTTGGGCCCTCTTGGGGCCCTCTAGGGGCCATCTTGGAGGCCACTTGGGCCATCATGGGGCTCTCTTGGGGGCCTCTTGGGCGATCTTGGGGGCTTCTTGGGCCGTCTTGAGCCGTCGGAGAGCCGAAAAGGCGCAAATGCCAAAATCCTTCAAAAACCAAGGGAAAATCAATGATTTTGGCCTCTTCGGACTCTCCTGGAGGACCTCTTGGAGGCCTCTTGGGCCGTCTGGGAGGCCTCTGGGGGGCCTCTTGGGCCGTCTTGGGCCGTCTTGGACTCTCTTGGGCCGTTTTGGAGGCCGTCTTGGACCATCTCGGGCGGACTTGGAGGCCATCTTGGGCCATCTTCGCGATTTTTTGAGGATGTCCCGAGCGAAACGGCCGTTTTTGGGCATTGACAGATGGGTTTTGTGAGATTTACGGGTGGCCGGCGGGACGGGCCGAAGCCCACTGGGGAGTTCTTTTAGAAAAAGAACCAAAACCAAAACCTGAATCGTCCAGCACGCCGTGCACCCCTGCAAGCAGGGGGGCGGCGGATCGAAGACGCCTACGGCGAATCACCGCCGCCCCCTGCCTTTTTGGAAACGCCGATGTGGCCGAAAGTTGGACTAGAGCTTGGCCAAGCTATCGGACCATGAGTTCCCCGAGTCGGTTTGGAAAGCTTTCGGGGAACACATGGGAGAGAATGATTATGAACAGGAAGAGGAAGAGGAAGAAATAGAGTAGGAGGATGAGGGTTGTTAGGAGTCTCTTGGGGCACCCTTGGGGTCTGTTGGGGGCTTCTTGGGGGCCTCTTCGAGGCCTCTTGGAGGCATCTTGGGGGCCTCCTTGGGCCTCTTGGGGGCCTTTGGGGGCTTCCTGGGGGTCTCTTTGGCCGTCTTAGGGCGTTCCTGGTCCGTCTGACGCCGTCTGGAGCCGTCTTGGGGGCCTCTCTGGGCCGTCTTGGGGCCCTCTTGGGGCGCTTCAGGGCCGTCTTGGAGGCCATGTTGGGCGTCTTGGAGGCCTCTTGGGCCGTCTTGGGGCGCTCTTGGGGCCGTCTTGGGGGGCCCTTGGGCCGTCATAGGGCCTTCTTGGAGGCCTCTTGGGCGATCTTGGGGGCCTCTTGGGCCGTCGGAAGGCCGAAAAGAAGAAAACGCAAAAAACCTTCAAAAACCTAAGGAAAACCAATGATTTTGGCCTCTTCGGGCTCTCCTGGAGAACGTCTTGGAGGCCTCTTGGGCCATCTTGGAGGCATCTTGGGGCCATCTTGGCCGTCTTGGAGGGCATCTTGGGCCGTCTTGGAGGCATCTTGGAGCCATCTTACCCGTCTTGGAGGCCATCTTGGCCGTCTGGGAGGCATCTTGGAGGCCATCTTGGGCCATCTTGGCCGTCTTGGAGGCCATCTTGGGCCAAGTTGGGGCAGGAAATTGGGGAATTGAGCTCCTGGGCATCCTTTCCGGGTGGCCGGCGGGACGGGCCGAAGCCCACTGGGGAGTTCTTTTAGAAAAAGAACCAAAACCAAAACCTGAAACGTCCAGCACGCCGTGCACCCCTGCAAGCAGGGGGCGGCGGATCAAATGGCCTTCGGCCCATCCCGCCACCGTGCTTGGGTTGTGCTTCGTAGGCCTCTAGGATGTTCGTTGGAATGTCGCAGGAGGCCTCGGGGGTCTCGTGGAGGCAGTTTTGAGGCCTCTTGGGGGCCGTCTTGGGACCTCTTCGGGCGCCTTGAGGGCTTCTTGGGGCCCTCTTAGGCCGTCTTGGGGGCCTCCTGGGGGCCTCCTGTGGGCATCTTGGGGCGGAAGGCTCGAATTGTCTGTTCGGGCTCCCCCTCTTGAGTCCCTCTTTGGGCTCTCTTGGGCAGTCTTGGGCGCTTCTTAGGCCGTCTTGAGGCTCGCTTGGGCCGTATTGGGGCATTTGGGGGGCCTGTTAGGCCGTCTCGGGGCGGTCTTTGGGGAATAAGTATACGTTTTCCTGTTGTAACGGGACGATTTTTACCTCTTGGGGTCCTCTTGGGGGTGCTCTCTTGGAGGCTTCTTGATGTGTCTTGGGCGCGTCGTTGGCTGACTGGAGGCCATCTCGGGCGTCTTGGACCGATTGTTCGGCGAATCGGGGCCCCCCTGGGCCATCTCGGGTGCCTCCTGGGGTACTCTTGGCCCGTCTTGGGGCCCTCGTGGGCCCGAACAGGTCGTTCGACAAGCACCAGGAGCCACGCGACAAGCCCCGATAGAGATTGAAGATTTCGGAGTCCGAGCCCCTAAAAGAATCCTCAGGAGTAGTGAGGACTGAGACTCCAGGGATCGAGCAAGGGACCTGGGGGCACTCCAGCTCGTGCCCTTGGGCACGGTGGCGGATACTGCACGGCGCTGGTGCTGAGCTTCCCATTGGTTCTGTATCCGACCGGCGCCTCGCCGTTCCGCCCCGCCTGTAGATGCCGGCCGGGGGGAGGACATCCGGTGTTGACCTCCTCTCCGAGAAGTGCTCACGCAGACCTGTCTGTCTCTGTTGTCCCTTGTCGCTCTCCGGCCTGCTCTCCATCCAGCCCCTGCTCGCCCCTCCCGCTAGTCGGCGGCGAGCGAGGGGGGGAAGTGAGAAGGGGCGGGCCCTCTCAGAAGGCTCGGGAGTTCCCTGGCCTTTCGAGACAGTGTTCTTGAAGCTTTCCCCGAAGACGCAGAGCATGTCTCAGAGGGCGCGGGGGCCTCTGAGAAGCCCCGCAGCCTTCTGAGAAGGCTCTCTCCTTCTCGCTTCCTCCTCCTCCTCCTGCTCCTCCTCCTCCTCCTCCTCCTCCTCCTCCTCCTCCTCCCCCTCCTCCTCGCACCTCCTTTTGCTGTGCCTCCTCACTCCTATTCGTCCTCCTCCTCCTCGTCTCCTTCTTTCTCTTCCTCATCCTCCTCATTCTCCGAATCAGAAGACGTCTTGGGGTCCCTCTGCAGGGAAGCTGCCCACATCTGTCCTCGAAGCCAAAGCCCCTCCTCGGGTCCATCGTGGCCAGTCTTCCCCAGCTGCGCTCCGCCGTGTCGACGAGAGCCTCCAGAGGCGCCCGAAATCTCGGCAACGGAGACGTCGATGCCGACGTCGACGTCGTGGGGAGCTCAAGCGAGGCTGGGACCTGGAGCGCCGCAGCGGAGACCCATCGGCGGCATCCGCGCGCCCGCGTCCCGGCCGACTGAGCGCAGGGCCCGGCGGGCCCCGCGTCCATCACGGTGGAGGCCGCGGCAGAGGCCCGCCTGGGCCAGGCTCGGGCGCGTGCGGGTGGGGCCCCGACCTCCTTCCTCCTCTTCCTCCTCTACCTCGTCCTTCCTCCTCTTCCTCCTTCCTCTTCCTCCTCCTCTACCTCGTCCTCCTCCAGTCCTTCTCCGTATAGATAACTCCTCCCTGTCGCACCCCGAGGCCAGTTTTTAGGGCGGGCCGGGCGTTTCGCATAAGACTTCCTCACCATTTATGATTCTGAAGCCGAAAAAAGCGACCACAGTTTCACAGATGGAGGGCGGGTCGTTTTCAAAATGCGGCTCTCGAATTAGCGCCGCGCACATTCGTTTTAGAAAATGCAAGAGTGTCACGGATTGAGTTCGGGTCTTTTTCAAAATGTGATTCTCGCCTTAGCCTCGCGCACATTCGTTTGAAACAAATGCAAGAGTTTCACGGATTGAGGGCGGGTGGTTTTCAAAATGTGGCTCTCGCCTCAGTGCCGCGCACATTCGTTCGAACAAATTGCAAGAGTTTCACGGATTGAGGGCGGGTGGTTTTCAAAATGTGGCTCTCGCCTCAGCGCCGCGCACATTTGTCTTAAATATTTGCAAGAGTTTCACGGCTTGAGGGCGGATGGTTTTCAAAATGTGGCTCTCGCCTCAGCGCCGCGCATTGCAAGAGTTTCACGGCTTGAGGGCGGATGGTTTTCAACATGTGGCTCTCGCCTCAGCGCCGCGCACATTCGTTTGACAAAAATTGCAAGAGTTTCAGGGGTTCCCAGGATCAACGCACCGGAAATTGCGTTGTGGAAGGATTCAGGCGGCGCAACAGTTATGTTAATTCGTTATGCTGAGGTCCCGAAGCTGACGTTCTGGCACGATTCTGGATCGTCAAGACGCAGCAGTCAGGTCGATACGTGGCGTTGAAATCCCGAGAACAATGTTTTGGCACGTTTCAGGATCTTCAAACTGTTGCCTTCCAGCGAGGTAGTTCCCTCAATGGAAATGAACCGTTGTAGGGGCCTACGAAGAGGGAGCTTGGAGGGAGAGTTAATTCCAACATCGTTGATGACTCTTGGGTTTCCACTGGTCCTCCTCCTCCTCCTCCTCCTCCTCCTCCTCCTTCTCTTCGTTCTCTCCTCCCCATTATCCCCCTCCTCCTTTCCCTTTTCCTGGCCCAGCCTGTCCGACCTGCGCCTCTTCCCCCCCCCCTCTCCCGAGGCAAGGTACACGTGGACCCGTTCGTTCTGTTCGCGTCACTGGGGCTCCCCGTATTGCAGCCGCGGTCCTGGCTAGCACGGGGTAGCATCGCCCCCGCCGGGTCACGGGCCAGCACGTGGTCACGCCAGCCCTGGTGGGCTCCCGAGGGTTCCCCCCCCGAGGGCTTCCGAGAGGGGTCACGCAGCATGCCCGCCAACACGTGTGATCGCCGCGGGGTGGCAACGCTACATAATGGATGTGGCCATATTCAGGAGGGGGAAAAACACGCAGACACGATGAATCGTCGATTCCCAGGAACAAATGGGAAAATGTGGGAAGTGGGGGTGAAGACGAAAGCCCAGAAAGCATGGGGAAATTTAGGAAATCCTGGGATTTGTGCCTATCCATTTGTGTGCCCCTGGGCCCCTTCACGCATGCCCTCTCCGTCGGGTTTCGCGGCCTCGGGGGGGGGGGGGGGGTGCGCACGGCCTGGTCTGGCGATGCTGGCAGACATCCGGCGGATAGCCTTGAGTCGGGCATGTCCCTCTCCAGGAGGAATATCAAACAATTGTCAAAAGTAGGCTGGGGGCGATTTTTCGACCATGTTTGTTTATTTTGGGGTATCTTTCTGACCATGTTTCATTTTTCTTCCACAGTCGGCCTGTATGGGGGACATGCCCAACCTAAGGATAGCTCCTTGGAGAGCTAAGAGGGTTGTCAGGTAGGAAGCCGGCAGGCAGGGCTAGGCCAGCGCCTCTCCAAGGCTCCTGAACAGGAAGCTTCGCAGCGCCGTGCTGCAAGTCGCAGCGTGTTCCCGCAAGCGTTTTCCTTCTCGTTCCTAAGGCTCGTGCCTGAAGCCTTTCCGCAGGTCCTTCGCAGCTCCTTCGAAGCTCTTGCGAAGATCTCTTTCCAATCCAAGGCTTGCAGGCTCCCCAGGCATGCTTCTCAGCGTCCTTGCAAGCGTTTCCAACAGGTGTTTATGCGCTTTGAACTGCGCTGCTGTCCGGATTCTCAACGCCACAAGTTCCTCGGTTACGGCCTCCAGTGGACCCTGATCGGGCCCTAGGGCCAACAGAGGTGGATCTGGACTGAAAAACTGCCCCCCGAGGAAGTGGTCGAGACCCGCGGGGCCGGCGGATTGAAGAAATCTCACCGTCGGATGGCTAGGAGGGATCGACCCTGAGAATCTGAAACGTCCGTTCTGGAGGCAGAACTCCCAGTTTGAAGGAACGGACGTCCAGAATGGAGGGACAAATAAGAATGGAGATCGGACCTCCCTTTTGAATGTGTTTGATCCTCCTCGGGAGGTTGAAGATCTAGGCTTTTGGGCGTTTCGTTGCACTTTTCTGGCCCGCGGGTGCCTCCGGAAGCCTCGGGGGAAGCCGCACGTCCGGATCTCAGGGACAGCCCCCCTGAGATCTCTGCTGGGGTCCTTGTACTCTCCCCTGTCATCGGGGGCGTCCAATCTGCCACAGAAAAAGTATACACAGACACCCTCCGCTGGAATGTTCCTGGGCCTCACGGGAGGGTGGCGGTGTATAAATCGCCACTGGGAGCCAGAGACTTTATGAACAGTTCCCTCCCTGAAGGTACATGTCAAGCTCGTCCGAAGGTGTCTGTGTGTATATATAATCGTTGCGTACCCAAGAGGGGTTCAGGACTAGGGGTGTGTGTGTGTGTGGATGTCGTGGCGGGGGCCATGGTATCTCCCAGATGTCATGGTCCCCTCTTGCTCTGTCAATGCGCTCCCTGGCCCCCCCCCTCTGCGCACGCATGCCTCGGGCAATGGTTTCCTGGCCCCCCTCCTCGGCGCACCCGAGCGTCTCCTCTGTGTATGCCTCTTTCTCCGCCTCGTCACTCGTTCGTCTTTGTCGTCCCCCTCCTCCTCCTCCTCCTCCTCCTCCTCCTCCTCCTCCTCCTCGAGTGAGCTCTGCTTCATACTTCAATGTTCTCATGGCTTGCACCTGTTCGGCTCCCACGCCCGCGTCCGTAGCTCGGTCTGCTCTGGACGGCCGTGGCTTGGGAGGTGGACGCAATGGTCGAAGGGCATGTTCGCTGGCATGCAGCTTGGTGGTCAGGTACAATAGATTGGTTTGGGGGTGTCTGGAGCGTCGTGGTCCATACAATTCTGATCGTTATCGTCATCACCATCACCATCATATCGTAGCGAGGGGCTCACAAACGCGATTCCGCCCCAGAGCGTTCTGAAGCTATGACGTGTGGTCAACATGTAACGTTTTGGTTTCCCGCGTGTACGGTTGGTTGTGAGTTGTCGGGTTGATTGTATTACTTGATCCCAGCCCATTCCTCCCACTTTGACAGACAGCCATCAACGCCGTGTACTTGTCTATAGTCGTTCGTGTATGTCTTCCGTTTCGCGTCTTGGAGTCCACTCCCCACGACCGTTGTGCATCATCACAGCTACTGATCCTTCGGCGTAGAGATTTTGACATTAGGAAGAGCCATGCCTTGCCGTGCTATTCAGACGTGGAGTCCAGGATCGCTCGGCTCCATGCTCTTGGCAAGACTGGCGCGCATGCTTACGTTGCACCAGTATTATCTGTCTGATCGCGCGCCCTTGCCATTTGGACGACGCATCTGACATCTCCTGCTGCGCTTCGGCGGCGAGCTAGGGGGGGGGAATGAGAAGGAGAAGGCCTTCTCAGAAGGCGGCGAAGCTTCTCAGCCGCACCCGCGCCTTCCGAGAGGGCTTCTGTGTCTTCGGGAAGGCCGAGAAGCCCTCTCAGAGGGCCGGGGGACCTCCGAGCCTTCTGAGCAGGCCTCCTCCTTCTCATTCCTCCCCCCCGTCGCTCGCCGCCGAGCGCTGGCCTGCCGCCGAGCTGCGCAGACACCCGCAGACAGCGTGCCGCAGAGTCGTGCAGGGCGCTCGCGCACAGAGCCACCGAGGCCTCGAGCAGCGGCGGACCATCGGCCACCGCGATGCGGTCTGGCACGTGAAGCGCACTGCGCGACTCCAGTGCGCTTCGGGAGGCCCAAGGCACACCACGATTACCCGGGAGGTCAGGAGGACCTCTGGAACGGGTGCTATCTGACGCCGCCACCAGTTCAAAGAAGAGTCATTCGCGACGGTTCGCCGTGCCCTTGTGCGCTCCTGGAATGGGGGCTTGGAGCACCTTTGTTTCAGCTTCTCCCGAGGGGGACCCAAAGAGACCCGTTGCGCGGAAAAGTACAGCGACATCCCACGCAGTGGCGTCACAGGTCATAGCACGGAGGAGGGAGAAGACGCGAGGACCAGGAGAAGGACGAGGCGAGGGACGAGGAGGAGCTGGAGGAGGAGGAGGAGGAGGAGGAGGAGGAGGAGGAGGAGGGGGAGAGGAGGAGGAGGAGGAGGGAGGAGTGAGGGGGAGGAGGAGGAGGAAGCGGGGGGAGGATGAGGAGGAGGAGTAGGAGGAGAGAGTAGGAGGAGGAGGAAGGGAGTAGGAGGAGGAGGAGGAGGAGGAGGAGGAGGAGGAGGAGGGGGAGGGGGGAGGAGAGGAGGAAGAGGAGGAGGAGGAGGAGGAGGAGGAGGAGGGGAGAGGAGGGGGAAGGAGGAGGAGGAGAGGAGGAGGAGGGAGGAGGAGAGGAGGAGGAGGAGGAGGAGGAGGGGGAGGAGGAGGAGAGGAGGAGGAGGAGGAGGGAGGGAGGAGGAGGGAGCAGGAGAGGAGAGGGGAGGAGGAGGAGAGGAGGAGGAGGAGGATGAGGGGGAGGAGCAGGAGGAGGAGGAGGAGGAGGAGGAGGAGGAGGAGGAGGAGGAGGAGGAGGAGAGGAGGAGGAGGAGAAGGAGGAGGAGGAGGAGGAGGAGGAGGAAGAGGAGGAGGAGGAGGAGCAGGAGGAGGAGGAGGAGGAAAAACAACAAGGTCGTGGGTAACGACGAGGGAGAGAGATGCGGAGGAGGTGGCGGAGAAGGAGGAGGGTTTCCCCATGCTTCCCCTCATTGTTCAGCTCCTTCCTCCTGCAGCTGCTCCTGCTTCCACTTGTCCCCTCCGCATCCTCCTGTTCTCTTTCCCTCCCTCCCCTCTCTCCTGCCCCCTCCTGTTCCCTCCCGCCCCTCCCTTTCGCCTCCGCTTCCTTCTCCCCCCTCTCTCAAGTGAGGTGGGAGGGAGGGGGAGGATGAGCCAGGAGGAGGGAGGATGGGTACGGTAGGTTCGCGCCGTGTCGACACGGCGGCGACCCCGGCGCGGGCGTGATTGCCGCCGATGGCCTGGAATCGACTGGCATCGAGCGATCGGCGTCATCGGGAAGCCACGATCGCTCAAGATTGGACGATCCACGCGGTGTCAGAGGCCAGCGCACGAGTCGTGACGACACGGACTTGTCGTACAGTAGGCACGTCAAATCAAACATTGGCATGCCAACAGGTGACCCACGGAATTTTCTTCAGGGAGCTCAAGGCCCGATGACTACGGTCGGGAACTTTGGATTGCGTGTCGCTCAGCCGGTTCTGGCCCACCACGCTTTGGAGCGGCACGCTATCCATTTCGCGGTCCCCCAGCGTCCAACGTCCCGAGCCTTTGCCAGCCTTCTGCCCCGTGGAGCGGAGCGACACGCATAGCGCTTCGCCGGGGCCGCCGCAGCGATACGCTAAGCAAAAGTTCCTGACCGTAGATGGGGAGGGAGGGAGGGATGGAGGGAGGACGAGGAGGAGCAGGAGGAGCAGGACGAGGACGAGGACGAGGAGGAGCGGGAGCAGGAGCAGGAGCAGGAGCAGGAGCGCCAGACGAGGCGTCGCGGGGCGCCGGCGGCGCTGGCGGGGTGGCCATCCGCTCCGCGCTCGTCGCGCTTGCGCTGCTGGTGGCAGCGCAGGGTGCTGCCAGGCGGGGGTGCCCCTCCGCGCCTGCGTGGTGGTCGTCGTCGTCTTTCTCGTCGTCCTGCCCGTCGTCCGCAAGAAACGGCATAACCATAAACTGTTGGCGCTCCGAGCGGATTTCTCGGATCTGGGCGGGGCGCCCCCAGGCGGCGCCTCCGGCGCCGCCCCTGGCGCGCTCCGCGCGCCAGGTAGAGGGGCCCAGCGCGGATCCAAGAAATCCGTGCGGAGCGCCAAGAATTTATGTTTGTGCCGTTTTTCTTCTTCTGGTGGAAGCCCACGACAAGAAACACCCTGCTTGCCTCCAGGGTGCCCTGGGATTTTCTTGGGTTCGATGTTTTGCTATGGGATGCGTGGCGCTCCCACCACGAAACTCAGGGTACATCCTCTGGGTTCCAGGGTTGGGTTTCTCGTGGAAGGTTTTTTGTGGTCGAGCTCCTACTGTACCCCCTCTTCACACAAATCCTCCTCTTCCCTCCTCCGCCACGCCTTCGTCCTGCACCCCCTCCCCTCTCCTCCTCTCCTCGTGCCCGGATAGTGACGCGCCTGTTGGGGCGAGCTCCGGGGCCCCCTGCGGGCTGGGCAGCCTTGTTTTGCCGGCTGCCGCCGCCCCGAGTGACGCTGACCTCGAAGATTTGCTCTGGCGCGCGAGTGCTTCGTATTCCTTCGCTGGGCTGGCTGAGAAGCTGCCCCGCCAGCGGCTGCCACTCCCAGGGGGCTCCCCGACTCCCAGCCACGGGAGGCCCCACGTGACATGCTTCCGTTTCGGAGGCCCGGGCTCAGCACACCCCGACCGCAGGACCATCGTCCCCCCGTCGCCTCGTCCTCCCCCTCCTTGCCCTCCTCCCTCTGCCTCCCCCTCCGCTTCCTCCGCGTCCTCCCGATCCGCTGGATATCCTGTGGTTTTCCTGCTCCTCCGGCCCCTCGCCCTCCTCCTTCTCCTGCTACTCCTGCTTTGTACCAGTGGCCAAACCAGAATCCTGAGACTGTGGCGTTCTTGACAGGCAGTATGGAAACAAGTAACACGACTTGTGCTTGCTCTGCTTCTGAGCGTGAGCTGCACACCAGGGCGAGGGCCTTGACACACATTTCAGCAGCCAGAGCTTGTGCGGAGTTTCGGCACGGCGGCGCTGTCCACTCCTACAGTCCGCGCTGAGCGGCATGGAGGGACAAGGAAGAGGAGGGAGGGAGAGGAAAAGGGAGACGGGCATAGAGGGGGAGGAGGAGGGGGGAGGAAGAGGAGGCCTGAAGTGCTGCCGATCCCAAGGCCCGCGAACGAAAGAAGGAGGATGGGGATGAGGAGGAGG